TATCTATCTATCTATCTATCTATCTATCTATCATAATTGTGCAAAACACTCTATTTCGCATGCATTTTTCTATTCTGTAATATTTATTTATTAAATGACACGTAAGCACACTAATGTAAATAAATAAGCATAATTTATTTGAGATATTTGAAAGGCACAGATACATATATTTCAGGTAGACATCAGTTTGTTCTTTCAAAGTCCAAATACAACAAAACATGTATTAAAATAAGTCAAACGTGACATATAACAGCATGTCTTTTACAGCGGTAAATTAACAGTACATTAAATACAGCAGCAGATAAATAAAATAATAAAATAATAGTACACAGTAGAGCAGTAGTGCATAATTTATAAATTCACGTACAATCTAGTGAATTTAAAAAGGCACATAATGAAGGCAAACATACATCAGAATCAAAAATAGGCCTAAAATTGTTTAAAAATGTCTTGATAGTGGTAAATTAACAATACAGAATGTACTGAACTATAATTATATATACTAGAAAATATACTGTAATAATATCCCATAAATATCTCAATATAAAAAAATTAAGTTGGAGACATATAATATATAGACTACATTCAGTTCTGATTTAGTGTCCTTTCTTCGAGTAGTTTGAACGCTGCAGTGTTTTATCGTTTGGACAGTTGATCCGAGAGCCAATCCAGTCCTTCATATAAACCTGATCCTTGAACCGCACATGTGGCCTGAACAAACCACTGAGAGAGAGAGAGAGAGAGAGAGACACAGGTTTATTTGACTGAAACACACTGAGGTCACGCATCACGTGTCAAACAGAGTGTGTGTGTTCACCTGTCTTCCTCTCAGTGCGTGTAAACCCAGTCTGTCTGTCAGCTCGTGGACCGCCATGGCTTTGGGTAAATCCTGCTTGTTAGCAAGAACTAACAGAAGCGCGTCTCTCATCTCGTCCTCCGCCAGCATCGCGTTTAGTTCCTCTGCTGCTGTTTCAATCCGGTCATGATCACTGCTGTCCACCACAAAGATCAGGCCCTGAATCACACAAACACACATTTTGTTCACGCCATTAAAATGGCATATTCAAATATAATATAACTGCAAAATCATACTGCATACAGTCGTGTTTGTATTAAATTCTTACCTCAGTGTATTGATAATAATATTTCCAAAGACCTCTGATTTTGGTCTGACCGCCAACATCCCACACAGTGAAGGAGATGTTTTTATATTCAACTGTTTCAACATTAAAACCTAAAGAGAAAATTGATAATATTCAATAAAAACAGACAATAAATCCATATAAGGCAGTTAAACATGACAAACATCTAAAAGTTTCTTACCAATAGTTGGAATAGTTGTGACAACTTCACCGAGTTTGAGTTTTTAGAGCACTGTTGTTTTCCCTGCTGCATCCAGACCAACTTGGAGAAGAAATATTTACATTTATTCCACAATGAACATATTAATATATGGGCTATATCAGATTATTAATATGCTAATTTTGCTTTATGGGCATTAAAATTATTTAAGCACATAATAACAATTTAAGCAATAAAGTGGCATAAACAGTAGCCAAACTATAAGATCTTTAAAATTCAAAGTTTGGAGAAAAAAATATTTACTCACCCATAAGCAACCTAATCTGCTTTTTCGGAAAGAGACGAGAGAAAATCTGAGAGAAATAGTTGCCCATGTTTGCAATAAACCAGAACCACTGTTGCTGAAGATAAACGCCTAGAGTTAAAGGCTCAGACTGGTTATGGTGTGTGTGTGTGTTTATATAGACTTTTTTTTACTTTCGGTTTGATTGACAGCTCAACACCGCCACTCTGAGATTTTCTCGCGGCAAATCCAACGCGTTCGATTTGACGTCACCTACTGTATCACGTGTCTAAAGAAACTTTTTTTTTTTTTACACTTTGAAGTTGGAAGTCTTTGATTTCATTTGAATAACACTGAACTAAACACATGTTTGGGAAATGTGAGCAGGAAGTACATAAACCGTGAAAATGTTTTGTTAAAAAATAATCAAATAGCCTAACCTAGCAGCTGTGGTTGCCAGACATTTACCCTAAAACACTGTGATAATGTTAAAGCGTTTTGGTGGGGGCGAGCGTGTCATAAAAATATGTTAATATTCCAACCTATTTGAGGGATTATACTTTTTACTGTAATATGTACCTAAAATAACACATCAGATGCAATGGACGACCATGTGATGTCTTAAAGTGCATTATAATGGGCTATAAACCACAATAACATATGAGCCAGTCTCACAGCAAACAAGAGCAATCAGGGTAACACATATGACAATAAAATAATACTAAACATTAACCAAACAACACAACACAGCGTAAAACAATCCAGTGCACAGTACTCATAGCAACAATTAGATACTATTGTTGTCTTACAATATTTTACCATAACATTTTCCATAAATTATAGGCCATGTTTTACTTTTAAAAAGCATTTGTACCATATTTTACAGTACACTTACATGTAATGTCTTTTATAATATAATTGTTGCCATAGGCCTATATGGTTACTTACAGTTTTCACTAACATGTTTTACTTTTGAAGATGGCATCAGCTAAAAACTTTAGCTAAATGGCAAATTAATAGTTAGTATTTTCCAAAAATGTCATTCATTCTGCAAATATGATTAGTTATTGAAAGTGAAACATAAACGTAGGCTACTACATTTTTTGTATAAATTCATCATTTATTGGATCTGTTTTTATTCATAAATTATAAAAAAAAAAAAACATAACATTATGACCATGTTTACAATCTGATTTAGCAGTTCTATTGTTATTTATGCATGCATTAAATATACATCTTACATCAATCTATCTATTATAACTGTGCAAAACATACTCTATTTCTCATGCATTTTTCTATTCTGTAATATAATTTTTTTAAATGAGACATAAGAATACTAATGTTTGAAAATAAATACACCATTTATTGGAGATATTTGAATAGGTAGGACACACACACACACACACACACACACACACACATATATGTATATATTTTCCAGGCAGACATCAGCTTATTCTTTCAAAGTCCAGATACAGCAAAACACATATTAAAATAAGTCTTTCAAAGTTTTTTTTTCTTTCAGAGTTCATAGAACAAGAATTAAAACTAAAAATTAACTAAACATGTTTTCAGATGTAACCTCACAATATAAAATATACAGTTTTGAGTTGTGTTTCAATCCAGTCATGATCACTGCTGTCCACCACAAAGATCAGGCCCTGAATCACACAAAATGCCTCTTTAAGACAAGTTTTAGATATTTAAAACTCTGTTACCTTGGTGTTGTGATAGTAATGTCTCCAGAGACATTAAGAATTAAATTCTGACTACCAACATCCCAAACCGTGAAGGAGATGTTTTTATATTCAACTGTCTCCACGTTAAAACCTACAGATGGCAGAATTATGAGCATTTCGACATAGCATGACACATTTATTATGATTTCGATAAATTGCGAATTGCTTTGAGTTTCTTACCAATAGTTGGAATAGTTGTGACAACTAGCCAAACACACATGCTAAAATAACAACAACTTACTGACACATAGTAAGAAATGGTTATAAAATACTGAAACAGAAGTGAAACAAGTAGTAGGAAAGAGGAGAAAAAACTTCAAACTTCACCGAGTTTGAGTTTGTAGAGCACTGTTGTTTTCCCTGCTGCATCCAGACCAACTTGGAGAAGAAATATTTGCATTTATTCCACAATGAACATACAAGATACATAACTGAAATGTCTTCTTAAGTTGTAGGCATATTCAATTTCACATATCAGTTAGGCCTAATTAATATGCACAGTAATATTTAATTAATCCTTAATTAGATAGGATAATTATACATATATATATAATAAATAAATATATTTTAATATATTTGGGTTTGTAAAACATTTTGAGAGAAAAAACAACAACATTTACTCACCCACAAGCAACCTAATTTCTTTCTTCTTCACGAGACGCGAGAATAGGTTGCAGAAGAAGATGCCCATGTTTTGATACAAAAAACTTTGCTTTATTTAGTGAGAATGAATGCCTACTGTTAAAGGCTCATATTAGTAATGGTGGTTAGGCCTAATTAATATGCACAGTAATATTTAATTAATCCTTAATTAGATAGGATAATTATACATATATATATAATAAATAAATATATTTTAATATATTTGGGTTTGTAAAACATTTTGAGAGAAAAAACAACAACATTTACTCACCCACAAGCAACCTAATTTCTTTCTTCTTCACGAGACGCGAGAATAGGTTGCAGAAGAAGATGCCCATGTTTTGATACAAAAAAACTTTGCTTTATTTAGTGAGAATGAATGCCTACTGTTAAAGGCTCATATTAGTAATGGTGTTTTTTTTTACTTTCGGTTTGATTGACAGCTCAACACCGCCACGCTCAGTTTTTCTCGCGGCAAATCCAACGCGTTCGATATGACGTCACCTACTGTATCACGTGTCCAAACAAACTTTTTACATGTTTTCATTTGAGTTTAATTAAGTTTATTACTAGTCTAAACAAATCCGGTTACAATCTAACGCTTAAAATCTCTTGGTTGAATAAATCGAGGATCATGCTCAATGTGTTTTTTAGGCTTTGTAATGCAATTCATTTCTGAAGTTTAACTTCACATTATAGACTACTGCTGAAGGGGGTTTACAACAAACAAGTGTTGTTAATTATTTAAAATTATAGCTTTTTATTCATTTATTTAACATAGTGTGTTGGAAATGTCATTTATAAAATACACATAAATAATATTCTCAATGTTGTCTTATATGTCACCTAAAGCGCTTAACTTGTACAGCCTTTTTGACTTAAAAAAAACGAATAACTTGTTTATTTGACTTAGATTTAGACACGTGGTACAGCAGCTGACGTCATATCGAACGCGTTGGATTTGCCGCGAGACAAACGAGCTGTCAATCAAAGCGAAAGTAAAGAAGCCTATATAAACCCGCACACAATCACTGCTTCATCACACAAACAACCCGAGCCTCATCCTCCGGACCTTTATTTTCACTAAATACAGCAGATTTTACCTGCACTTTTTAAAAAATGGGCGTCTTCTTCTCTAACCTTTTCTCGCGTCTCTTCGAGAAAAAAGAGATGAGGTTGCTTATGGGTGAGTACACGTTTTACTGTCCTTATTATTTGATTCTCATTCAGTTTTTGGGAAAATAGTTCTAGTGCATAGCTCTAATGCAAATAAAATAAAATAGCTCTAGTGCAAATAGATGCATATTAGGCCTATACAACTATAAAATATTACCATTATGAATCTTGTACATATTCATTGTGGAATAAATGTAAATATTTCTTCTCCAAGTTGGTCTGGATGCAGCAGGGAAAACAACAGTGCTCTACAAACTCAAACTCGGTGAAGTTGTCACAACTATTCCAACTCTAGGTAAGAAACTTCAGGTCACACAAATGTAGTAATATTTAAAGGGATAGTTCACCCGCAAATTACAATTCTGTCATTTACTCACCCTCAAGGTGTTCCAAACCTGTATGATGTTTTTTATTCTATTGAACATAAAAGAAGATATTTTGAAGAATGTTGGTAACCAAACAGTTGGCGGTAGCCATTGTCTCCGAAAAATACTACAGAGGTCAATGGCTGCCGTCAACTGTAGCCAAACTGAAGTACTTCAACATATAGACTGCTTGAATAGTGTCTGATAACGACTGACTGATTCTCTCTAGGTTTTAATGTTGAGACAGTTGAATATAAAAACATCTCCTTCACCGTTTGGGACGTCGGCGGTCAGGATGTTATCAGACGCCTCTGGAGACATTACTATCAGAACACTAAGGTATGATGTGTCACAAATTTATGTGTTCAGTATCTATTATTTTAACATTTCAATTCTAATCAGCTACTTTTATGAACTGTATTGAGTGTAAGTGTGTGTGTTTGTGTGATTCAGGGCCTGATCTTTGTGGTGGACAGCAGTGATCATGACCGGATTGAAACAGCAGCAGAGGAACTAAACGCGATGCTGGCGGAGGACGAGATGAGAGACGCGCTTCTGTTAGTTCTTGCTAACAAGCAGGATTTACCCAAAGCCATGGCGGTCCACGAGCTGACAGACAGACTGGGTTTACACGCACTGAGAGGAAGACAGGTGAACACACACACTCTGTTTGACACGTGATGCGTGACGTCAGTGTGTTTCAGTCAAATAAACCTGTGTCTCTCTCTCTCTCTCTCTCTCAGTGGTTTGTTCAGGCCACATGTGCGGTTCAAGGATCAGGTATATATGAAGGACTGGATTGGCTCTCGGATCAACTGTCCAAACGATAAAACACTGCAGCGTTCAATCTACTTGAAGAAAGGACACTAAATCAGAACTGAATGTATATATTATCGCCAACTTTATTTTGAAATATTTATGGAATATTCTTCTACATCTTCTTATATAATTCGATCTCAGTACTCTGTTTAATTGTATATACATTTTTTATATATATATAACAATTTGTGGTCTGTTTTTGGTTCTAATGTACGTGTCTGACTACAATATGTCTTTGAAATCATTTATTTACAAAAGAATTAAATTATTTATTTCATGTTTTATTTATGTGTATTAATATTGTTATGCATTAAATAATTTTAATTTAATTATTTTTTCATAGAATATGACCGATTTACAGTAATTTTCACTGTGGTAACAATGATCATTGTACAATTTTTATAATCTAAAACCAAACATTTATGCAAGTGTTCCTCAGTTTTCGCGCAAAATGGTTCAAGCGCAATTTGTGCCGTTTTTAAAAAGATGACAACAGAAGTTATATTTCCTTGATTAGAGTTTAAAGTTGAGCCTTTAAAGTTGTCCAAATGAAGTTCTTAGCAATGCATATTACTAATAAGAAATTAAGTTTTGATATATTTACGGTAGGAAATTTACTAAATATCTTCATGGAACATGAGCTTTACTTAATATCCTAATGATTTTTGGCATAAAAGAAAAATCAATAATTTTGACCCATACAATGTATTTGTAATGTATTTTTTTTTCCACTTAAAATATAAAAGAAAGAACCTACAATATAATAGAAAATACTTACAATTGTTTTACTGTGGTAGCAATTTTTCAGTGTACAACCAAACATTTATTTCAAAAATAATATAATTTTGAGTGATTTCTACACTAGAATATTAAAATTAAATAGATACTAGAATGAAGAGGCAATGGGACAGAAACAGCTCCATTATTGACATTTATTTACACCTGGAAAAAATATACTTGTTCTTCATGATGGTAACAGAACAATGAAATATACTCTATTGAAAAGCTACTGTGCGTAATATGGTTACAGAGGAAAAAAAACATTAGTGGTTAATGGTTTGATAGAAAAATATTGTTTATGCTGAAACATCTGACTGTGGTTCGGTGTACACGGTTACTTGTTTTACAAAAATCGTACTTTTCCATTTATATCATTCTATAATAATCACCACGGGAACAAATAAAACATCCTGTACAGTAACTACCGATAGAAATGAGCAGATCAAAAATACAGATGTTAGAAAATATCCATCAGTATAACAAACAGGCATCGTGTCAAAAGCTATTCGTTATTTGTGTATTAGAATATACCTCTATAAAATTCAAGCATGTTAAAATAGGTTTGTTCTTCAAATATAAAACACCAATGGTTGCCCAACAACCAGTTTTCACAGGTTTGCACCGTGTGCATGAAAGAAACCACATCCATAAGGCGTCCCATGATTCTCTGCTGTGACAAAACAGAACCAGCATCCTATATAATAAAGCATTCATATGGATTAGATAGTGTGACGGTCTTTGGTCGCTCACCGCTTTGTCTTTCAAGCTCAAGGCACCAACAGAAAGGTTGCATTTCCATCTTTAAATATCCAACATGCATTTACGTCATGGAATATGACAAGCTGTGAAGCACAAGCCATAAAAATGGGTTTTTATAAGCCATGGTTATGCACATTTTGAATAGAAACACCTAGAATATCGTTTTCTGTTGCTCGACACATTCGACAGATAAAGTGCAACAAGCTCTTTCTCAAAGTCAAAGAATCACATAAAATGTATTTCATCCCGTCACGTGACATTAAAGCATTGCAAAACGACACACTTGGTCCTAAAAGAGATGCAAAATCATTCAAATCAAACTAATCAGAAAACGAAAGGCACGAGAAACTGCAAAACAAACCATTTTCACCTCTATAGCTCAAACGTGTGTATTTGACGTCTATATTGTGTGCAAGTATACAATACAATATCATTTTCTGAAAGACTATGTGTATATGATTTTGGAATCGAAGGAAGACCACAATCTCAAAGCGACGGCACTGATGATAAAATAACTAGACTAGTTCTTTCAGGTCAGTGAAGGTGCAAAGGAAAGGAAAAGACGATGGCTATTTTCCCTTTTGTGGTTAGTCAGTTTATGAGTTAAAATAAAAATAAATACATATATAAAACTGCACTGGTCTTTGCTGGGTTTGCCTTCATTATGAGAGTTAATTAATGCCAGACACCTGCAATAATGTGCTTATTGAGCTCGAAAAGATGAATATATTCACACTAGTGTCTCTTCATCATCAGTTATAGGTTAGTACAGGTGCAACTTAAATTAGAATGTCGTGGATTAATACACGAGTTTCACAATTTGAGTTGAATTACTGAAATAAATTAACTTTTCCACGACATTCTAATTTATTGAGATGCACCTGTAGTGTTGCTCTCTGTAAAACAGACCTGTTATTGCAATATTACAAAATTAAAAGATTCAAAACATTTCCAGGGAATGTTTCGCCCCAAAATATAATTGAAAAAATATTGTATAAATAAAAGCCCATTTTGAGAGCCATTATGATTTGAAGGATTTGACCTTTTCTTCTTCTCTGTATCCATGATAATTCACATTATTGCATTATAACTTGATTAAAAAAAATACTGAAATATTTACCAACTGAATACTTCTTATTCTCATTATCCATGACAGTTCTCATTACTGCATCATAACTTGATTTTAAAAAAGGCAAAAAAATTACTGAAATAATATTTCACAATTTAATACTTGTGTTTAATTATCATGCAAATACCACAATGTAAAAAAAAGTGAAATTTTAATTCAATTTTAATACAATGAAATTTTTTTTTTTATTAAACTCTGTGGTGATTAATTACCATGAAAATATAAAACTTCATTACTATAATGCAACAAATTCCATTTTGACAGAATTTACATTTACATTGTGAAGTATTAAATTGTTAAATATTATTTCAGTAATTGTTGTGCTGGTTTTCTTCCATTAAATGATATAATAATGAGAATGATCATAATTAGAATAAGAAAATGTCTGGATCATTACAGAATATATATATACACATATACACACACACACACACATATATATATACACACACACACCCCCTGAAGTTCAGGTGAAATAACCTGATTGTAACAAAAACAATGCCACTGTGTAAATATATATATATAACAGGCTTCAAATAGGCTTCATTTTCTTTACGCAAAATAAAATTTCCTCATTTTGGGGTGAAATATGACCTGGGCATGTTCTTGACTGTTCTGGATCTTGTGAAGCAGATTTGATGTTCTTCCTCCAGACGTCCTGGTGTCACAGCACAATCATTCACAGATCTCCATTCAGACCCAGATCTCTCTTCCCTGACAGCATCTTCATGTTTAAAAGCAAAGGGAATGTTAATCTCACACGGTGAGACGTACAGCTTAAAGACACGCGCGTGTCATTCTGCCATCATTCGCACCTCTCGCGCTCGGGCGCAGTCACTTCCTGTGCGGTTTTGGCAATGCCAGCATTGTCCGTTCAAGGGCAGCAGATCTACAGGAGGATCCAGCAGAAATGCGGCACACGCGTGGAAGTCCAGCGGGTTCGTGTCCGTTAACCCCGTCCGCTCTGCTCTGGTCTGTCAGTGCTGGCTGAGGGTCAGGGGCTCGGCGGTTTGTGTAAGATGCCCTGCAGGTCCTCTGGAAGAGACAGGATGATGCGCTCGATATGGGCCTGCAGTTTGGGTAGAGTTCCTGGTTTGACAGGAAGCTGATCTTTCTCGGCCTGAGTCTGAGACACAAGATGGAAAAGCAACGTATATAGTGAAATACATATTTATGCAATCAACGTACATACTGTAAAAATGATTATGATAAACAAAGATTATTGGAGTAAAGTTTATAAGAAAATACTATTTCAGTCTTTTTTACTTAACATTTAATTCAAGTACTTGCCTTTCTTTGTAATTAAAATTTACTAGTAATTTCTGAGTGAAACGGTTTCCTGCATTGTAATTTTTTTCTTACATTTTTAAAGTTGTAAACTAAGATTACTGAAGCTTGTTTTACAAAATAAATAAATAATTAAAAATTAAATAAAATTGCAGTCTTTCTATCTCGAAATTGTCAGGTTTCATTCAATGTGTTTTTTTACTAAACATTGATTATGTGAAAATGTACTATCAATCTGAGCGAAATTGTTTCCTACACTGTATTTTTTTATTTTTTTATAAACAAAGAAAACTGAATCATGGTTTTTTTTTTTTTATTATTATTATATTTGAGTATTTCTACTTCAGTGCGTTCCTTGCCTTTTCTTTGTAATTATTTGTGAAATTTACTAGCAATTTCTGAGTGAAATTGTACACTGTAAAAAAAGATTTTTTGAAACTGTGAACAAAAATTTTGGGTGTGCCTTTTACAAGAAAATAAAATTTTCAGTCTTTCTACTTCAAAATGTTCAGGTTTAATTCAGTGTGTTACTTGCCATTTCTTTGTAATTAATTGTGAAATTTACTAGCAATTTGAGCGAAAATGTTTCCTACACATTTTATATAAACAAAGATTACTGAAGCATGTTTTACCAAAAATATAACTTTAAAAATCATGTTTAATTCAGTTACTTGCAGTTTCTTTGTGAAATTTACAAGCAACTTCTGAGTGAAATTGTAAAATAAAAATGTAAACAAAGATTATTTCAGTTTTATAAGAAAATACTATTTTCAGTCTTTCTACTACAAAATTTCACATTTATTTCAATGTTATTTGCTGTTTCTTTGTAATTATTTGAGGAATTTAATAGCAATTTCTGAGTGAAAATCGCATGTGAAAATAGCTATTTTTCCAGCCAAAGTTGTGAATTAAATTGGAATATGGCATAAAATATTGCAAACAATGCGCAGTTTCCATTCCATGTTTTCAAGAGAACAACATCTTCACTTCCCGTGTAAAATATCAGTTATTAAATAATAAAAAGTTGAAACAACCAGGCATGCATGCAAGAATTTTTTCCTACATATTAAATCTCTTGAAATGCAAAAAGAAATGCTGTCACGTTATCTTGCATTTGGATG